GCTCCAAAGCTACACAGAGAAACCCTGTCTCAAAAAGCCAAAAAAAGAAAAAGAAAAGAAAAAAAAAGAAAAGAAAAAGAGTAAATTATAAAATCTGAAACATGATTTTAAAATCTTTTATAGTAAATATGGACTTAAAATCATAGATATTAGAATAATGTTAAAAGTTACCACATAACCAAGTAGAAACAAAAGCTGAATTCAGCTAGAAAATGTAGCATAGACTTAATAGTTATAGACATTCTAATGTTTTCCCCAATACTGCGATAAATGTACAAATCAGGAACTTATTCAAGAATGTTATAATTCATAAACCAAGTATAATATCACATACAATGGGTATTTCTGAATGTGTTTTGGTGAATACAAGTTAGGACAGGTATCTATAATAATATATAGAAGTCTAATAATATGATAACCTAATGACAATAACAAATAGCAAATAAATGATAATAATAGTATGTATTGCTTTATTTTATACCTCTTGTTACTGCCCTTTTAAGTTACAGTGGTGACAAAATAAAGCAGAATCTGAGAGTCATTACTGAGCAGAGCAAGGTAGAAATGCTAGTCAGAATTCAGTCCTGTGAAGACAGATGCTTGCAAAATCTCACTTCCTGTTCACAGCCAATACCTTCACTGAAGGCTAAAATTAAGAACCTAACAGGCATGTTAGCTCAGCATTGTTTCAGGACTATCACACAAATTCCTACAGCTCATTTTAAAGATAACGTGGAAGACAGAGGCAGGCTGGGAATGAAACATAATAGAATATAACTTAAAAATAGTTTTATGATTTTGCTATCAACCATAAACATCATTACGTTTTGCAGAAGTATTATTCATGTCTCAAATCGTATATCTGATGGTTAGTCCTGTGACTGTAAGTCAAGACATGGTGAATATTTTCGTGATGATTTGAGAAAGTATTAATTAATATATTATTAATATATTATTAATTAATATATAATATATAATTATAATTAATTAATTAATTTTATGTGTATGTGTGTGTTCTAAAACATTTATGTGTTCTAAAAGTTTTAAGTGACATCTTAGTTGATCTCCCAAATTGCTCTTTTGAGCAGATGGCATAATCATTCTTACTTCATATGTGGAGCTAGTAAGTAGGAGAACTATGATATAGTTTCCTAAAGTAACTATATAATGCACACTGGCTGTCCATCCATCCATCCATCCATCCATCCATCCATCCATCCATCCATTCATCATCTACTTTGAATATTAGAACACTGCCACTGTCTTTTGATTTCTTCTTGACATAAACATTTATTATAACATGATTTATTTATATATTTTATTATTTAAGTCTAAGGCTTAATTTTGATTGGAATATATTATATACCATTGGAATACATTATATAATTTAATACAAGAATGGAGGATTGTTCTACATTGAGCAAAAACAGAAAACTGGGCTTTGGCATGCTTATTGTATTTCACAAGACAAGATTAGTCTACAATGTTATAATTTGTGAGTGACTGTAAGCTCTGGAGACAATTCAGTAACTAGTGTATCTCTTGGCCCTACAACACACATACATAAATACACACAGAACAATATGGAAGGCCAATTTCTAGAAGGGGCCAGTAGAATGGACCATAATATTAAAAATGATATCTGAACTATTGTCAAACGAATTGCAGACTTGTCACAGTTCTGATGATATATTATTTTTATAATCATTTCCCAATATAGACATAAATATTAAAACAAAAAGAAATAAGTTGAAGACACTTGAGAATATGTCATTTTAAAATACTACCTTTGTTCTTACAAGTTTAAAAATTAAATATATGGTATGAGGAGATGTCTCAGGGGTTAAGAGCACTGGCTACTCTTCCAGAGGTCCAGAGTTCAATTCCCAGCACCCACATGGTGGCTCACAACCATCTATAATGATATCTGGTGCCCTTTTCTGGCATGTAGGTATATAAAGAACATTCATACATAACTATAAGTAAATTATATATATATATATGAATATATATGAATGAATTTAAATAAAGAGGTAAAAGATCTCTTTAGTAAAAATTGAACCATCAAAGACAGAAAAAGAAGAGGACATAACTGGAAAGACATACCATATTCCATATTCATATACTGGGGTAAACAACATTAAAATGTCCATATTACCCAAAGCTAGTTAAATATTTAACACCATCACTCTCAGAATGCCTATGACTTTCTTCATCAAACTATGAAAAACTTTCTAAACTTTCTAAAACTTTTTATGGAACCACAAAACTCCAATAATCTAGAGCACTTGCAAATAAAAAGGACACAGCATGAGGCATTATACTCCTTGAATTCAATATATACTAAGTTACAGTAATTAGAGCAGTTTAGTACTGGCCTGTGAAAGAGACTAAGGGAAGGTGAAATGGTTCAGCAGGCATAGGTGCCACCAACTCTGATGGATGGTCTGAGTTCCTGGAACAGACATGGTGGAAGGAGAAAAGCAACTTCTGGCAACTGTCCTCTGATTTCCACTTGTGTGCACTGGCATGTGCACACATAGAATCAATCAACCAACCAACCAACCAACCAACCAACCAACCAACCAACCAACCAACCAACCAACCAATCAACAAACAGGCAATAAAGAGACATGTATCACTAGAATAGAACACATTACTTAGAAGAAAACCTGAACTCACAGTCAACTGATCTTCAACAAAGGTACTATGAACATATATTGAAAAAAAAAAAACACAGAAAATAAATGGTACTGAAAAAGCTGGTTATCCACATGAAGCTAGATTTCTGTACTGTCCCCAGATATAAAAACCAACTCAAAGTGGATTAAACACACACACACACACAGACACACACAGACACACACAGACACACACACACACACACACACAGTAAAACTATGGAGAGAAACTATGCAAACTCTAGAAGAACACTGGGGAAGCAGATTCAGATGTTGGAATGGGCAAGGGTTTAGGTTAAGATCTGAAAATCATAGAAAGCAAAAGTGAAAAAAGACAAATGGAATTATACCAAACAATAGATCATATGCACAGTAAAACCACAATTAACAGAGTAAAGATATAGCCAACACTATGAGAAAATAAAATGCTTGAATGTTGTGTATCTGCAACAGGGTTCCAGAATATCTAAGAAAGCAATCCTAAAATTCACATGGAACTATGAAAAACAAATGACAACAACAAAAAAACCCATAAAAACCCAACAAATATTGGAAACAATAGCCAAAGCAATATTGAACAAAAAACCCCAAAGCACAAGGCTTTACACTACCTGAAAAAATATACTGTCAGAACTAAGTAATTAAAATGATATAGGTATCTGGGATACAGCTTAGTTGGTAGACTGCTTACCTAGTTAGTATTTATGAAGCCCTGGGTTCTGTTACCACCACCACCACCACCACCACCACCACCACCACCACCACCACCACCACCACCACCACCACCACCACCACCACCACCACCTAAAGTTTCTATGATGGTGCCTGCCTGAAATTCCCCAAAGCAGGGGGGATCAAAAGTTCAAGGTCGTTCTCCACCACATAGCAAATTAGAGACCTCATTTCAAAAAGTAAAACACATACACACAAACCCCAAAACTAATTGTGTGGTGACTCAACACACTGAAGGCAATAAAATAGGAAGATAATGAGCCTGAGGTCAGAATAGCTTATCCTCCTTCCTAGACATGGTAGTATATGCCTTAAATCTGGAGACTAAGTAAAATGGTCATGAGTTTGAGGCCAGTATGGACTCCATTGCAAGGCCCTGTCTCCACAAAACAAAATAATAACCAAGCCAAACCAAATACAATAACAAAGGCTGGGTTGAAAGCTCAGTTGATAAGTCTGTGCTTGCTGCACAAGCAGGGAGGCCTAAAGTTGGATTGCTAGCATCCATGTAAAGAGCCAAGAGCTATTGTGGAAGCAGAAACGTGTAGCTCACTGGACCTCACTGGCCAGCCAGCCTGGGCTGAATATGTGAGCTCTAGGTTCAGTGAGAGACCTTGTGTGGGGATAAGGTGGGGAATGACAGAGGAAATAGACATCTGATGCCAACATCTGGCCTGTACAAACATGAACACATCTGTATCCACACACAGCTGATTAGAGCTAGTAGTTTGTCTTCTGGTATGTACCTGGACGTTCTAGTTCTACTAAATGGAATGACTTTTGGATGAACAATTTTTAGATCCATTTGTCTGAAGTCTCTGATCTGTCATAGTCTGCTCCCTGAAATGTGGAGAAAGTCTTAAAGATTTTGCTGGAAAAGAGCTAAAATTATCTTTCTGAGGAGGAAACACAATATCTCAAAGAAAAGCCTGAGAGGTCAAGAGGCCTCCAGAGGAGGAGGGACCACCTTAAAAGCAAGTTCTTGTCAAAGAGCTGAATGTCTGGACACCTGCCTAACTGAGGGATTGTGGGAGGACAGAAATGGCCACTTAGTCCTGTTGAGTAGACTGCACTGTAGAGCGAGGCAGAATGGAAACATGAGTGCAAACCAGAGCCACCTGACGGTCGCCTTGAGGCAAATGCATTAACCTCCTGAGAGGAGCCGAAGTGCAGAGGAAGCTGGGTACAGTTCAGAGTAAAGAAACTGGCCTAAGAAGCTAACAAAATGAATCTCAGTAGAGAGGGCTGTCCACCAAGGCACTCTGAGAATGACTCTAACATCAGACCAATTCTTTCATTGCTCAGAGGGAATATCTGATATATAGGAGGAAATAAAAGATTTTTAAAAAATCAATGAAAGGCAAAACAAAAAGCATTTCTTGCATTGTGTTTTCTTGGGCTGTAAGACATTAATTAAGCATGTGATTATTAGCTAAACACAGTTGAACAGTGTAGCAAAAGCTAGTCCACTTGAGGGAAGGTCTTGACTTTAAAGTGACAACTATCAGAATACATCCTACATCACAGTCACATTGAAGGGTTGTCTTATGCTAGAAAAAAAAAAAAAAAGGAAACAGTTTTACTCACCTCTCTTCCCTGTGGGATTCCAAGAATTTGGAGCATAAGCAGAACAGAAAAATGCCACCGTGTTACACAGTATTTATAAAGAAGTCACCAGAATAGTTCCTATTTCATTGCAACCCAGAGCAAGGTGATGCTTCTGTGCTGTGAGTGTTTCAATGAAGTCAATTGTATGTTATGGATTAAAAAACAAACAGCATCTACATTTTAATTGTGCTTGACCCATTATACTTCAACAAGCATTTTTAGTGACCACATTGACTATATTAAAAACATTAAATTTTAATTTCTATAAGGTGTATGTGAATACTAGCTGGAACTGAAATAGACTATTTGTTCCAATTAAGAACAAATTAGAAATGCCTTGGACTCTGATGATAATCTCTTTCAGAACAAGACAAAGACGACGAAACATACCTATATTTTATCATATGATCATTTTCTTTGTAGCATGGCGGTGATGCTAGCCCAGAAAACATCCTCCTGGGAATTCATTTCAAATTATTGAAGCAGCTGTTTCTTCAGTTTAAAATAAAATATCCATAACAAGTTCACACATGACAGATGCAAGCTAAAAACTAGATTCCACAGTGTGAGCTAAAAGCAGATGTTTTGAATGATCATATTTATAAGCAGATACAATAAATCTTAGTTGCCTGTAGTAAGGCTCCATGAATACTCTTTTCCAAGAATTTGCTTAAAAGATAGACCCTGTAGTTTCTCATGTTTTTTGGAAACTAGATTCCATTAAACATAAGTATTCTATAAATTCATATGTATTCAGTCTGTTTTCTTTTGGCTCATTACATTTGCTTCTCAAAAAATAACAGCACTGTCAGGACACCAAAGTTTATTGTTTTTATTTAATTCTGCATATTTCTTCCATTGAACTCAAAGCCTGGAAATTGTTTTTGGAGACAAATTCACAACTATAGGAAAGAGAAGTTTAAGTCTTAGAATAAGCAGGGAGGTGTGAGATCACTCCAGATCTGTAGGAAATGGTAATATGTAATTAGAACTTTAAAAACATTGGCTGACAATGCGGCTCAGGGGCAGAGTGTTGAATAACATATTGGAGGGCCAGGGTTCCTTCCAAGCATGGCAGACAACAACAGCAACAGAAACAAAGCAACCAAATATTTAGTGAAAACATACAGAAAGTTTGAATTATGGATGTCTTTCATTGTAAAGCTTATCACCAATTTCTCATTTAATGCTCACTAGGCGACATTTTCAAGCAAAAATGATCACCACGTCATGGGGACAAGAAAGCAACGGGTTTGGCATCCCAAGATGGGTGTGTTCCAGCTCTGCCAACTATTGTTTATGTATCTTGAGGACAGATCTCTCCCAAGCTTTCTCATGTCCTTATCATGTGATTGTTGTCAAAAACAGATACAAAATTCACACACACACACACACACACACACACACACACACACACACACACACACACACACTGTAATATACAGGAGTCACATTTCCAGGAAATGTGTACGTGTGGCCAGATGCACACTGAGACTCTGGTCAGGCTACCTTTTCAGTGCTGCCCCCACTATGGCAAAGCCCTCGTTTATGCTCTGGCTACAAGTCATCACCTCAGCATGATGCTCCTCATTCTGCTGCAGGACTTCTATGCAGAGCTCTGCGAGATGAAGAACCTCTTCCAGCTTCCTGGCAGGAGTTGCCTGGTTCATGGTCTCTGTATTGAAAAAAAAAAAAGAAAGAAAGAAAGAAAAAAGAAAGAAAGAAAGAAAAAAGGAAGAAAAGAAGAAAACACAATGTTACCTTGAAAGTACAAAGCCAGACATGTCCTAAGATGTAATGATGATTGGGGTATTGAAACAGCACAAGGAAGCACACTTTTGAGAGATAAGGGATGCAAGGAACACAATTGAATACATTGTCTTTAAAAAGCCGGTTCACCAGATTGCAGAAAATATTTCACCCACAAAGCGATCACAGATCTGCGAGTGCTTTGCCATTTAGTATACAAGAGCTAACAGGTGCAACAGCACATTAGATGCTCAACTTCTGCAACAAACAAGTTATAATTCTGCTCAAGGTCAGAAACACAAAGAGAGCAGATAGCACAGTCTTTTCCTTCTGTCTGCATTGTATTCAGAATACAATGCAGTTCTCACCAGATGAGTCATTCCTGGCATTAGCAAACCCCAGGGTTTTTTTGTTGCTATTTGAATTCTCAGTTCATGTTGATCTTAATCCCAAGAAGTACAAAGTCACCTAAAACAACTCTGACAGCCAGCAATTAACTGACTTCCTCCTCTGTGTGCCTGCTGCCATCCCAGCCCACTTCCAACCGTGGGGTAGCAGGTTAGGGAAGGGCAGAAGCCTTCTTTGAATCTGAAGGTTCCTTTCCTGTTAAGCTAAATTGGTGCAAAGGGATAGAACACAATAAGGTTAAGTGCAGTTACCGGAAATTCAGTAAAAGAGAAGGCAAAATAGCTTATTTCAAAGAAACAACAAACTGGTAGAAATTCGAGGTGCCCTGCATGATACAACTGTCTCAAAACCACATGAAAACCAGTTTTCACTAGGAACACTTAAGACAAGCCTGCCTTAGTCCACTTTGTGTTGCTAAAACAGAACACTCGACACTGGTGCTCCATAGAAAAAGAGGCTCATTTTGTTCAGTTTGGGAAGCTGAAAGTCCACATTTAGGTGGCTCCATCTGTTTGGTCTCTTAGCATATTACAACATGGTAGGGAACTGGAAAGGAAGATGGCCATACGCACAAAGGACCTTGCATGTGGGATCATTGTTGTGCGACAACCCACTCTTTGGAGAGCAAACTCTTAGAAACCATGTGTGACAGGACAGACTAGACCCTGCTAAGAGTCTCATGGTCCAGTCACTTCTTTCTAGGTGTCACACCTTAAAAGTTCCCCAGTACTCCTGAAACCAAGGTCCTTGTATATGAGTTTATGGGGAATATACTCTAACTAATCCAAAGCCCATCACAGCAACTCTGCCTTACATTCATGGATCTCTCTGTCCCATTGACAAGCAAAGCCTGGTGGCTCATGTCCGTTGTAAGGGATGCTGCAAGGAAGGGAAGTCAAGTCTTTAGAAGAATTAAGAGCCTCCCTCCCTTCAGTATCTACTATGTTACCCAGAAACAAATCTTAGCTTTGGACGTCTCCCCAAATCTCAGCTTTAAAGTCAGAAGAGATTCTTAATGTTTTCTTGTCTTAATTCATTCTCAAAAGGGCAGAGAGCAAAGCAGTGTGACATGCCTTCTGATTGGTGCTTGCTCATTAAACTTTTAATATGCTTGGAAGTCAGTCAGACATGGCATGGAGTGCACAGGGTTCGTACCCTAAACTCCCCTATGATGGAGGGGCATGGCTTATCTCTGACTGATCAAGAGCATAGAGATTCTTTAGGAATACCAGTCTGTCAACACAAAGATGTTCTCATCTAAGGGAAGTAAAGGGAATGAAGTAAGCATATCAGGATGGCAATTACAATGAATGTTTTTGTTTGCATTTTGAGATGGGCTCCTGTTAACAGCCCAGAATGGACTGGAATGCCCATGTAACCTAAGTTGGCCTCAAACTCCAAATCTTCTTGATTTACTGTCTCATGTGTTGGAATTATAGACATAAGTCTCCATGTTTTGTTTCCCAAAGAAATGTTCCTTTCATTGACTTCCTGGAATTTTCTTCCTGGAAGAAAAATTGTCTCTCCTTTTTAAGCTAACATATCCTGATCACAAACAATTCAGTATCCCAAATCACAACATAAAGAATGTTTATACAACAACTATCAATGCATCCACATGTTTTGAGATCACTTTAATAACATTCTTCAACAAAGATGAAGTCAAGGTAACTAATGATTCAGCATGACAAGTCTATTCTATGTAGAGTTACTTCAAGCTGTTTAATGAAGAAAACAGGCTTAAAAGGTTTGGAAACTAACACATATGTGCTATAGGAGATAGGAAGAGAGACTTAGTGAAGCATGGCTATAGAGGACTAGCACATGTAAGAAGAGGGGTTTCCAGGGAGGAGAACTGTAGGGCAGCGACAGTTTGTGTGAGAGGAAGGTCAGGGATGATATTCACAAATGATGATGCTCTCTGACAAGCCGTCCATCACCAAGCAACTGTTTCCCAAATATCATGATGTCAACTTTCCTAACTCTTTTAAGACAAGATTTTTGTTTGTTTGTTTTAATGTATATAATTCACAGTGTGAGAGAGATGAAATGCAACGGCCAGAAGGCGATGAAGGAATGACTTGGACCTTGTGTGCTCTTACGTGGCTAGAGAATGTGCTAGAGAATTATGCTTTATCACTGTGGGCTTTAGGTAAGACAGGATGACTACTGACAAATGGTACAGTGCAAGGATGTTATAGCACATCAGAAAAGATTGGATTTTAGAAAAATGTATTTAGAGGTTGGATGTAAAAAAAGTTCTGAGAAGCCTGTGTTGTAGGATCATGGGCTCTGTGAAGATGATAATGGAATGAAAAGGGAAGATACAAAAGATGCTTTCACATAGTAATCAAAGTCCTGTCTACAAGATGCTAAGAATCACTGACTCAGATAGTCTTTAAGCTTCCTTATAATTTAGAGAATCTATGTTGACTAAAACTTGTGGGTTTTAAGCTAGAAGGTGGTGGCACATGCCTTTAATCCCAACACTTGGGAGGCAAAGGCAGGTGAATCTCTGAGTTTGAGAACAGCCTGGTCTACAGACTGAGTCCCAAGAAACCTTTTGGTTTTATGTTTTGAAATGTATGACTTTAACACACACACAAAATGCAATTTCTCAAAAGGCTGAAAATATTGCAAAAATCAATCACACACAAAGACTTTATATTTCCTACATAGTTTAGGATATTGGTTACTGTACCCGCAAAGCCACCCTATAAGCTAGGGAATCAGATCTTCTGTTGTTGGGTTCAGAGAGGTCAAAGGACTTTCCAAGGTCATATAGTTATTGAATGTGATAGAATTAAATCTTACCAAGAAATCATTCCTGGACACACAAGTAACACTAAATGGACTAAATACACACACACACACATGTTTACATAATGATAAGTATCAAAGAAGATAATGTCATGGATTTGGGAGCTGGGAAGGATATGAGAAAAGTTTGGGGAAAGTAGAAGCGATGCAGATGCAGGACTCATGCATAAAGATGTAGAGAGAGAAACAGAGACGGAGACAGACACAAAGAGACAGAGAAAGACAGACAGAGAATAGGAATATACTTCACTTTTTAGATGGCCTTGGGGTTCCTGCCCTTAATTCCATTGTTTGGAAGGGAGAGGCAGTCTGCTTTCTTTAAATTCCAGGGCAGCCAGGACTAGACATTAAGATTGTGTTTTGTAGGGCATTGGTGGTACACGCCTTTAATCCCAGCACTCGGGAGGCAGAGGCAGGCGGATCTCTGTGAGTTTTAGGCCAACCTAGTCTCCAGAACAAGTGCCAGGATAGGCTCCAAAGCTACACAGAGAAA